CGCCCCTGGAATCCGGTAACTCTGTGGGGAATATTGGGTACTTGAGGCCGGGGCACGAACGGCACCGGCGCAGGGTCACGTGCCACTCGAGAGCTCACGGAAAACGGAAGACGGGAGGGGTGGGGGAGGGGGGAAAGGGAGATGCTGGGGAGGTGCCATTTCATAACTGTTTGTTTCTGATGGGGTGTTTTTATGTTAAATACCTCCGGGGTGTAATGTACAGCGTTGCCTTAACTTCATTGTAGCGTAATGTGATTTTCGTAATGATCTGCGGCGATGTGATATGATGTGATAATGTGCAAAATGTATGTGTGGGTTCGCATCATTATAAAATAACAAGAGTTTTGCTGGAAGTTCATGTAATTTCACAACGAAGGCAAGAAACCAACGGTGATTTAACGTTTTTTTAGTTATATAACAGAAAGAGACTATCGCCCTTGATCGAAAATGACATAAACATGAACAAACATTAGAAATGAAAATGATAAAAATATTGAACATATACAAAATCAACCAAAATATTAAAGGTGATGCAAAAAAAATAAAAAATAAAAAGGAAAGAAAGAAAAATAAAAAAAGATAAAAAGAAAACAAATATGAAAGAAATATGAAAGAGATTTTTAAAAATACAAAAAAAAAACTAATATTTAAAATGAAGAAACTGCCAATAACAGATATTCAAAAAAAAAAAAAAAAAAAAAAAAAAGAACTTTGTTATCCACTGCCCTCGGCCTGTTCTCCGCCGCGGTGTGTTCCTGAGTAACGGCGCGAGCGGAGAACAATTTCGGAGCCAGACTAAGGGCGCCCGGCTTGAACTCGTATAAATTCGTGGATATTGAAAAGGAAGATAATAAATACGAACGACGCGAGAAACAAAACTACGGTTGGAGAGATTTAGGTGAAGGACATATAAGCAAGGGGGGTTAGAGAGGTGTGTGTGTGTGCGTGTGTGTGTGTGTGTGTGTGTGTGTGTGTGTGTGTGTGTGTGTGTGTGCTTATCTGTTTATCTCAATTTTATTTCTCTCTCATCTCTCTATTTACCTTCCTCCCCCCTCCCTCCCTTCTCTCTGCGTCTCTGTCTCTCTCTCTCTCTCTCTCTCTCTCTCTCTCTCTCTCTCTCTCTCTCTCTCTCTCTCTCTCTCTCTCTCTCTCTCTCTCTCCCTCCCTCCCTCCCTCCCTCCCTCCCTCCCTCCCTCACTCCCTCCCTTCCTTCCCGTCCATCTTTCCCCTTTTTTCACACGTTTTTTCAGTCTTGTTGTCTGTCTGTCTGCCTGACGCTACAGAAAAAGAGAGAGAAAATTAGAAAAAAAGCGAAAAGGAAATTGAGAAAGACATTAAAAAAAAGGTTGTGAACTTGAGTGACAGAAAACGACATTCGCTTTGATTGAGTGCCGGGGAGACTTAAATAAATTCTCATTAAGGAAGGGAAGGAGAGAGCAGAAGAAAAAGAAAATCAAAAAGAAGAAGAAGAAAGTGACGATGAAGAACGAGTCGAAGAAGAAAAAAGAAGTCGAAGAAGAAGGAGAAGAAAGAGAAAAGGACGAAGACGGAGAAAAAAGAGAAAAAGACGAAGAAGGAGAAGAAAGAGAAAAGGACGAAGACGGAGAAAAAAGATAAACAGACGAAGAAGGAGAAGAAGAAGAAGTAGAGGAAGACGAAGAAAAATAGCGAAGGAAGGAAATGGGGCAGCCTGGCTTACCATTCCCTGCCAATTATTCCTCCGCAAAAATTGACTTTGTTCATTAATTAGGCATTAATCAAAAGGGAAATGAAGGTGTTTCCACGCTTTCGAAAACCAACGCTGGTTCCTCTCGCGTCATCTCCATTTTCTCGTTTTGACCTTTATTCCTTCGTTTGTCTGTCTGTGTCTCTTATTCGCCTTTTGTGTCTGTGTCTTTCTCTCTTTTTTTTCTCTTTCTGATTTGCTGTTTCTCATTATATCTCCTCTCTATTTTTTTTGTCTGTTCTCTCTCTCTGTATCACTTTCTCTTTCTCTTTCTCTCTCTCTCTCTCTTTCTCTCTTTCTCTCTCTCTCTCTCGTTCTCTCTCTTTCTGTGTGTGTGTGTATGTGTGTGTGTGTGTGTGTGTGTGTGTGTGTGTGTGTGTGTGTGTGTGTGTGGTGTGTGTGTGTGTGTGTGTGTGTGTGTGTGTGTGTGTGTGTGTGTGTGTGTATGTGTATGTATATGTGTATGTATATGTATATGTATATGTGTGTGTTTGGGTGTGTTTGTGTGTGTGTGTGTGTGTGTGTGTGTGTGTGTGTGTGTGTGTGTGTGTGTGTGTGTGTGTGTGTGTGTGTGTTTCTCTGTCTCTGTCTCTCCTTCTTTCTTTTTCTCTCTCACTCTCTCTCTCTCTCTCTCTCTCTCTCTCTCTCTCTCTCTCTCTCTCTCTCTCTCTCTCTCTCTCTCTCTCTCTCTCTCTCGCGTTGTTTTGCTCACACCCCTTCTATCCCTCTCCCTCTCTCCCACCTCTCCAGCCTCCCTCTCCCTCTTTCTCCATCTCTCCCTCCTTCCCTCCCTCCCTCCCTCCCTCCCTCCCTCCCTCCCTCCCTCCCTCCCTCCCTCCCTCCCTCCCTCCTTCCCCTCCCCTCCCCTCCCCTCCCTCCCTCCTTCCCCTCCCCTCCCCTCCCCTCCCCTCCCCTCCCCCTCCCCTCCCTCCCCTCCTCTTGTTTTTCAAATCCCGTTGCTGTTGAATGTTGACAATGATATATTTCGCGTCACAGTCTGTCTGTCTCCGTCACCTGTCAGTCTGGCCGGTGTTAACCCGTGAATAATGAAAAATGGCGAGAGAGAGAGAGAAATAGAGAGAGAGAGGGAAGGAGGGAAGGAGGGAGAGGGAGGGAGGGAAGGAGGGAGGGAGGGAGAGGGGAGGGAGGGAGGGAAGAATTCTATATTTATTCAATGATTTATCTTTTCTTCCATGTCTTTTTCAGGTATATTTTGATCTTTTTACTATTCATTGCCTCCTTTGCCCTTAAATGAGAGATTTTGAAGAAGAGAGAGAGAAAGAGAGAGAGAGACAGACAGAAAGACAGACAGACAGAGACACAGACAAAGACACAGACACAGACAGACAGACAGACAGAGACACAGACAAAGACACAGACACAGACAGACAGACAGACAGAGACACAGACAAAGACACAGACATAGACAGACAGACAGACAGAGAGCAACAACAGAAAAAGATAAGAGAAAACAAAAAATATTTCCCTGTGTTTCTCTCTCTCTCTCTCTCTCTCTCTCTCTCTCTCTCTCTCTCTCTCTCTCTCTCTCTCTCTCTCTCTCTCTTTCTTTCTTTCCCTCTCTTTCTCTTCCCCTCTTTCTCTCCCTCTTCTCCCCCCCCCTCTCTCTCTCCATTCCTCGTCTTCCACCCCCTTTCCCCTTGCCCACTCCTCTGCCCACTCCTTGCCCACTCCCACTTCCACTCCTTGCCCACTCCCACTTTCCCCTCTCCCCTCCACCCACTCTTTCCCCTTGTCCACTCCTCTCCTCTTTTCATCTCCTTCCGCCCCCTTCCCCTCCCCCCTCTCCCTCCTTTTTCCTAATCTTCCTCCTCCTATCATCCCCCTCCCTCTTCTTATTTTTTTACATCTACTTTCCCCTCTCCTCCTCCTCCCCCCTCTCCCTACCCCCTCCTCCTACTTCCTCCCCCCCTCCTACCTCCTACCTCCTTTTTCCTCCCCCCCCTCCTACCTCCTTTTTGCTTTCCCCTCGTCCTACGTCCCCTCCTTTTTTTCCTCCTTCCCCCCCTCCCCTCTCTTCCCTCTCCTATCCTCTCCCTCGCTCCTCCTCCTTTTCCTTCCCCCTCCCCCCCCCTCCTCTCCTATTAGTTGCAGGGCGACAGTCATTTGTCACCGCGACGCCCCTCGTTTGTCTCCCAGCATGATAGTCATCAGACTATCTCTCTCTCTCTCTCTCTCTCTCTCTCTCTCTCTCTCTCTCTCTCTCTCTCTCTCTCTCTCTCTCTCTCTCTCTCTCTCTCTCTCTCTCTCTTTCTCTTTCTCTCTCTCTCTCTTTCTCTTTCTCTCTCTCTCTCTATATATATATATTTTTTTTCTCTCTATCTATCTATCTATCTATCATTATCTCTATCTCTCTCTCTCTCATTCTCTGTCTCTTTTCCTCTTCTTCCTCCCCTCCTCCTCCTCCTCCTCCTCCTCCTCTTCCCCCTCTTCCTCCTTCTCGTCATCTTCACCTTCCTCTTCCTCCTCCTTCTCTTCATCTCCACCTTCCTCTTCCTTTTCTTCTTCCTCTTCCACCTACTCCTCCTTCTCTTTCTCTCGTCCTCTTTGCCTCTTCTCCTTCGCAGCGCCATCTCGCCAGACACTAAAACCAGAACTGCCCACTTGATGATCGGTGAAGTGTTTGTTTTACTCTCTTTCTCTCCTCTTCGCCTCTCTCTCTCTCTCTCTCTCTCTCTCTCTCTCTCTCTCTCTCTCTCTCTCTCTCTCTCTCTCTCTCTCTCTCTCTCTCTCTCTCTCTCTCTCTCTGTCTTTCTCTCTCTCTCAGGGATGCGAGAAAAAAGGGAGAGGAGGAGATGCGATAAAAAGGAGAGAAAAACACGCGAGAAGAGGGTATTTCCCACCACAAGGCGTGCGACTGACGGCATGATACTGAAGGGAGAGGGAGAAGGAGGAGGAGGAGAAAAGGGAGGGGAGAGGAGGAGAAAGGGGAGGGAAAGGAAGGAGGAGGAGAAGGTGGAATGGAAAATAGAGGGGAAAAAGAGAGTAAAGGAGGGGGTAGAGGAAACGAAGAGGGGAGAGGGCTGAGGAGGATTAGGAGAAAGGGGTGAGGGGATGAGAGAGAGGGGGCGAGAGAGACGGGGTGAGAGAGAGGGGGTGGGAGAGGGGAGGGGGCGAGAGGGGGGGAAGGAACGATGTGTGAGCACTGCCTGAGAGCGTCCCTGCCGGTCTCTGGGAGTCCCGGCAGGTGTCACCATTCGTTACAGCGGACACGTGGATGCTTGCTTGCTCGCTCGCTCGCGGGCACGAACGCGAGGCGGCAGGTACACACGCGCGCACTTATCGCTCGAACACAAACGCGGACTTAAAACGCACTCTCTTGCTGATGTATACGGAGACATACAAGCATAAGGGCAAAACTTCAAACAGTTGCATACACACACGCACATATACAGACAAACACACACACACACCCACACACACACACCCACACACACACACACACACACACACACACACACACATATACACACAAACACACACACACACACACACACACACACACACACACACACACACACACACATACACACACACACACACATCAACAACTGTACGTATGTTATTGTTATCACTGCCATTATCATGATGATAGTGATGTTGATATTGATGATGATAACAATAGTAGTGATATTTACAAAATAAAGATAACAGAATTAACGAATATGAAAATAACAATGATAAAGATAAAGAAAAAAAAACGATCAAAACCACGACGAATTCGTGATGGCAGCGACGACCTCCGTATAATGACTGCCTCGATACAGCGGCCGCTCCCTCTATAACAATACAGCGAGAAATATATTGCAATTTTTCTTTTCGTCGCGAGTGCGGTGTTGAATGCATCATGTGAATGTTTCGGCGACAGAGAAATGGAATTAATTTGACCCTTTTGCGCCGGTCCGCTTTGATCGCCTCCCCATGGATAGGAGCCGAGGGGGGTGGGGGGGGGGGGGTAAGACATAGCGGCGCTTTTCCTTGCTTCGGCTTGGGTGCTGCTGTTGCTGTCTTTGTTTTTGCTTGTTTTTGTTATTCTTTCTTTCTGTCTGTCTGTCTATCTCTTTTAATCTATTTAATTATTTCATTCTTTTTCTTCTCTCTCTCTCTCTCCCTCTCTCTCTCTCTCTCTCTCTCTCTCTCTCTCTCTCTCTCTCTCTCTCTCTCTCTCTCTCTCTATATATATATATATATATATATATATATATATATATATATATATATATATATATATATATATATATATGTATATATATATCAGCTTCTATTCCCCCCACTTCCTCTTCCTTCCTCCTCCTCTTCCTTCCTTCTCCTTGTCCCCCTCCTCCTCCTCCTCCTCCAGCTCTTCTTCTTCTCTTCCTATTCCTCATCCTCATCCTTCTCCTCCTCGTCTTCCTTCCTCCTCCTCCTCTTTCTCCACCTTCTCCTCCTCCTCCTCCTCGTCGTCGTCTCCATTCCTCGTCTTCCTTCCTTCTCCTCCTTCCTCCTACTCTTTTCTTCCTTCCTCCTCCTCGTCCTCCCCTTCCTCCTCCTCCTCTTCCTCTTCCTCCTAGTCCGCCTCCTCCTCCTCCTCCTTCCCTTCCTCCTCCTCCTCTTCCTCTTCCTCCTAGTCCACCTCCTCCTCCTCCTCCTTCCCTTCCTCCTCCACCTCCTCCTCCTCCTCCTCCTCCTCCTCCTCCTCCTCCTCCTCCTCCTCCTCCTTCCCTTCCAATCAGCCGGCAATCTCTCAGTCTCTCTCCAATCATCGACTAGACGCGTTTCTGTAATAGCTAGTGACGTCACAATCCTCGCTACAACGGCCAACATGCGTATACCGACCACTTCCATCGGGAGACCTCTTCGATTTCTTCCTTTTTTTTACTCCCCTATAATAAAAAAAAAGAGAGAGAAAGAAAAGAAATGGAGAAGAGAAAGCTGGAAAGTAAATGGAAACATAACGACCATATCTCTGTGTCTGTCTTTCACTACCGCCTTATTCGCACACCAAATTCCGTCCGTGATAACCGCTTCGGAAAATTTTTAAAAAGGAACCAACAAAAGTCAAGAAATTGAGAAACAACAAAAAACAAAAAACAGGCAAATATTAGACCAAAAAAGGAACAAAAAACAGAGGCAAATATTAGACATAAAAAAGAAACAAAAACACAGACAAATGTGCACAAAAAAACACACATATCCCGTCGTAGTGTTTTCCCAAAGGAGTGAACGATTGGAGGTGTGCGAATAACAGGGGGGAAGCCAACCATTGTTCACCGGCCTCAGGATTTTGAATAGCCAGCGCGGGAAATCGGCGCCATGTTTGGGCTCGATTCCCGGATGAGACCGTCTTGTTGTTTTTGTTATTTTGTTCTTTTGTCTTTTTTTTTTTTTTTTTTTTTTTTAGGTTCTTGTTGATGTTCTATTTTTTTGTGTCGTTGTTGAGGCCTTGTTTTTTTCTTTTGTCTTTTTTTTTCTTTTTTTCTTTTTTTTTTTTGGTTCTTGTTGATGTTCTATTTTTCTTGTGTCGTTGTTGTTGTTATGATCGTTGCTGTTGATTTTTTTTTCGATATCTTTGTTCTTGTTGTTGTTGAAGGTCTTTTTTTTGTTATTAACGGTAGTGATGGTCTTTCATTTTTTGTTGTTTTTGTTTTTGTTTTTTGTTATTAACGTCAATTGCAAGGTCCCGGGTTCGCGCCCCGGACACCCCTCTCAGTCGACTCAGCTAGGAGTGAGTACTGGCACGCGGACGCCAGCATGTTGGGGTCGAAGTCGTGGCTCAG